AATTCATCTACTTACTATATAGGTACCAATAATATGTTAACTGAAATAATTTTTATAATATTATGTGTAGGTACTTTATTTATATTTTTGGCCCAATGAACGAAAATGTATACTAATATCACTATTAATTCATGTACATACATATAATATGCTTAAATTATATAACTATACTATTATGTATATACATAGGTACATCTATAAAATACATTAGTCATATTATGTAGGTACATAATATATATATCAATTTATTATTCATAAATTATTACATTTGATATTAAATAAATAAATAAATATACGTGATAGACCATAGACCTGTATTATATTGAGTAATATCAAATTATGTCATATCATTATACAATTGAACCATCAGAGTATTATATACTATTTGAAAAATATAGGTGCGTTGTTCATGGTAAATGTGTCAAGTATTAACTAAATACTTATTAAATACTTATAGTATAGTCATATGATATGACTAAATTCATATAATTCATATTTTTAATATCACCTAAAAATTTAGTACCTACCTACTACATAGTATATTATATATATATATATATATATTTATAATTTGTCATTATATACTTAGAAGTGAAATCCTCTGTTTCCAATACTTAGTTACTCTCTATTAGTCCATCAATGTTATGTACCTACTCATGGAGTACTAACCTATGACCAGCTACCTTATTTACCAATTTCACTATTACTTCTTCTAATTAAATTTTTACATATTACAATATGCCCAGTTCATATATTATAACACTATACCGTTTAACACACAATGCAAACTATTAGAAAAAGACATATTTTATATACCAACCAATACCAACCAATACCAATGATATAATTAATAGTAAATAGTACTTCATTTAAACTTTTAGACCAATGGACCAAATATGTACTGATTTCACTTTGTACATACATAATATTATGCTTAAATTATATAAATATATCATAAGGTATAAACATACATCTATATAATAAATAGTACATTATGTATATATATATCAATTTGTTATTCATAAAAAATACCAACAACTCAACCTCAACCAAACTGTGATATATTTAATAGGTACCTACGACAAAGCATACATGTAAGTTAGTTATTATTATCGCGTCGAATCGCGGACGGCGTTCATAACTGTCACCGAAAAATTTGAGAGGGGGTCAAAAGTACCCCGACTAGGGGGGGACTATTTAGAGGGTCTTGAAACGTAAATTTTGGTGGTAAAACGGGGGACCCAAGTCGAAACGTGACAGAGATATACTTAAATCAAAAAAAGGGGGGGGGGGGTAATTTTTGATATGGTATGCACGTGGTCACCCACAACCCATAGCCGTTTACAAAATACGGCTACGACGATCCCCGGCTAAGTTATGCTCGGCCAAAAAAAATTTGATTGGGGGTGGGGTCAAAAGTACCCCGACTATGAGGGGGGACTATTTAACAGTGGCGGTTTTGGGGGTGAGGCAAGTGAGGCACCGCCTCACTTGTAATTTTTACGAAAATAAAAAATATTTGGTTATTTATATTGGTATTTTGTACTATTTTTAAATTTTAATCGTATAATTTAATTTTTAATTTTAATTAATTAATTAATTTATATTTATTTATTTTAGATATATATTTATATTTATATATATATAACAACAATATTGAATATTATTTTTTTGTACAGAACTTGTGCGAACTGCGAACGCAAGAATGGCTGCGTGTCGCTGCAACGTAACTTACGAGCTATTATAATATTAATAGTTTCCATTTAATATTGTGTCCGGCCCGGCACGGCGCCGCCGCCACCGCCAGCGCTAAAGCGCTAAAGGTACGGTTTCCAAGCTGCGACTAGTCGTTGCGGCCAGCCGCAACGATTTTGCCGAACGATTGATCGTTGCGTGTGTACTGGTTTCCTACAAGACGACTGAATGCTGCGGCTGGCATTTATTTTCAGTTTAGCTCAATATTTCAATGTGCACACACGTATTTATTTAATTTGTCGTAACAAATCACTAAAGATGGAACAAGTAATTATAAATAACAATAAAATAATCATACATTTATTAGAAGAGGAGGAAGAAGAAGAAATAATGTATACTTCAAATGCATACAGGAAGCCAATAAGTAATTTATTTAAAACAAGAGAAAAAGAAGGCTTCTTTAAAGTTTTAATAAATAGCCACTTAAGAGAAAATAAAAATAAATTTCGCGAATTTTTTCGGCTAAATTATGATCAGTTTCATTTTATATTAGCATTAATAAAAGACGATTTAACATTACCTGCATCAAACAGAATAAAAAATCCAATTTCGCCCGATGAGAAATTAGCTGTTACTCTAAGGTAAATACGTAATTTTTTTATTAATCAATAATAATTATGGCACAATTGTAGTTTAGCTACCTATCGATTTTTATTAAATATATATTTTTTAAATGTTTGTTTTTGTATGGTTAATTTGATGGTACACGATGGTCATTTGGAAGTTAACATTAAAAAACTTCAAAATTTATGTTTCCGAAAATCGTATTTAAAAAAAGAAAAGATATACTTAGAATTGAATATTTTCCAATTTGTTTTAGATTGTTTTAGAAAATCGAATTTGGTTTTTGGTGTAACTTTAAAACAAATAAATGTAGAAACATGAAATTTTGACTGGTTGTTTATATTTGCCTTTTCTATACACGATAACATTTTCAAAATATTTTGATTTATTTTGAACTGTTTAGGGACATTTTCATTTTCCATTTTTTTTTAGTTTTTTTTCTAAAAATATCAATAAAACTTTGTTTTTTGAGTAGAAATACTTGAAAATTTAATACAAGGTTCCTACTATATTGTTACAAAGGCAGATGAAAATATTAAAAATCCTTAGTCACAGTTTTTTTTTATAAGCATTTAAAGTTCAAAAATTGAGAAAATATGAAAAAATCACGAAAATTAGCAAATTATTTTGAGTTAAGAATTCGTAAAAATTTTTCTTGAAACTGGGCACTTAAAACTTGTAATTTGTACTATTATATATCTATGATAGTATAACGGTTTGTTGTTGATGTATAACGCGTTATAAGTACTTAATGGATATTGTGATAAGATTAATTTGGAATTTATTATAGGTACCTATGATAGGTCATTTTTTTTTAATACCATAGATATGTATATAATTTGTATTAAACCTAGACTGACATACCGTCTTCGCTCAGAATCGTTTTTCTTATACAATGATATTGTATCATTGAATTCAAATTTAATACCATCCATTAAACAGTGACCCACTTGTAACCTACTGTACAGCAGAGCGACATCCACTTGCCCACCTTTTTTTAAATGTGTGGTTTTTAACGATCAATAGTTTGGTAAAATCAAAACTTACCTTTCATACATAATTTTGAAGTTTTTGCACGTAAATCTTGAAAAATAACCTTTTCAAATTTAATCTAAAAATTAAGTATGATAGGTAAATTTTGATTTTACTAATCTATTGACCGTTAAAAACCACACGTTTAAAAAAATATTCAATTCTTAGTATTTTTTAAAAAAAAAATACGGGTAAACTAACGAAAAAACTTTAGGTACTTTTTGAAGTTCTTCACAGATAACTTCAAAACAAAGTTTGTCCGACCTTTTTTTTACATTCTTATAAAGCATGCAAAAACACATTTTAAAAAAAAAGTTAAAAAATTGATAGGTAGTCAAACTGAATTATGTCATAATTATAATAAATATATCAGTGGCGTTTCAAAAAAAATGTCTACAAGACAAATTTTAATTTTTTATTGTAACTTTCTGCAGATATCTTGCTACTGGGGAATCATTTCGGTCACTTTCTTTTGCGTTCAGAATTTCACATAGTTACATTAGTGTCATCGTAAAAGATACACTTTCGACGTTGAAAAAACACCTTATGCCAATTTTTCTACCCGATATATCAACTATCGACTTAAATAAAAAAGCATCAGAGTTTTGGACTAAATGGAATTTTCCAAATTGCGTTCTAGCTATAGATGGAAAACACGTTCGAATTAGATGTCCAGAAAAAACAGGATCGCTGTTTTTTAACTATAAAGATTACTTCTCTATTGTAATGTTAGCGATGGTCGACGCCAACTATAAATTTATTGTTATTGATGTTGGTTCATTTGGCAGAGAAGGAGACAGTGGCATATTTTTAAAATCTGCTGTGGGTCAACAGATACTGGATGGATCATTTGGTTTTCCAGATAAAAAACAATTACCTGGATCTGATAAAGTATTACCTCACGTTATAGTAGGAGATGAAGCTTTTAGACTACACCCTAATATTATGAAACCATATACTCGACAATCTGCAAGACACGATAAATCAAAAGCAGTTTTTAATTATAGATTAAGCCGTGCTAGGAGGGTGACGGAAAACGCATTTGGATTGTTAAGCCAGGTATTTCGTGTATTTTATCAGCCCATTAACATTGACCCAATGACGTGTGATGATCTTATTGTAGTTGCTTGTTGTTTGCATAATTTACTACGAGAAGCATATTTAGAAGAGAATGGACAAGCATTTTTTGAGGAACGTGATTCAAGTACAACACTACAAACAAACAACCTAATACCAATAACAAGAGGTGGTGGTTTTACAAATGCAGAAGGTTTTTTAGTTCGAGATTCTTTTAAGGATTTTTTTAACAATGAAGGATCTGTGTCATGGCAGGAAGACAAATAACATAAAATGTGTAGTACCTGCTTTAAATACTCACCTTGTATATTTAATAATTTGTTATAAACAATATGTGTAATTCCTTTAAATCATTTTAACATAACATAACAATTAAAAATGTAAAAAAAAAATGATTAAAAATTATACTTTGGGTTTTAAAATAACATTTGTTCTTTTGTTATACTTATACAACAGAAAATCTTAAAATATTTATAGAAAAAAAATTGAATCACCTTAAAACGGATACTTGTATTTTTGTTATATAATATAATAAATGTATCTTATAAGACAATATTAAAAAAAAAAATATATTATTTTTGATTTGTAAAATTATTGTCATATACAAATGGTACAAATCCTTGCGAGTTTGTTGGCAAACTTTGACATGATGGTGTAGAACTTGACTGGGCTATGTTGTAATCATATCCAGAAACAGTGGTAGTTGAAAATGCCACTGGGGTAGGTACATGAGGATTAATTAAATACTTGTCTTCGAGTTGTGACACCGTTTTTAGAACTTGAAGTCTTGCCTCGCTTATGCCTCTAGGAGGTAGTTTTTTCACCATTGCCGCAATACTTTGGAAAAATAAATCGGTTTCGTCATTGTTTGTCACTTTATTTAAAATCGTTTCATTTTGTTTTTGTAAATTTTGAATAATAACGGCTCTTTCCAATTGACGTTTTGAAAAATCTGTCTTGTTGTACTTAGATTTAAATTTTTTGTTTGGGTTTTGAAGTTCATTAGAATTTGGGTCTTTAGTGGATTTTTCAGTGTCTTCTTCAAATAACTCACTACTTTCTTCACTTAAGGTATCCATTAAAGAACCATTTGCATTATCATTTGCGTTATCATTTGCGTTATCATTAATTGTTGTTGTAACATTCGCATTAACATTTGTCGTTGTACTGAAATATTTAATATATTTAATTGTTATTATTTGTTATTATTATTTAACTTTCTTCTAGACACTGTTTTTTATAAAGGTAGACAAACTTGTGAATAATCTTGTATTACATTTTCAAATCTTAGACTTAAAAATAAAATTTTTTATGAATTTCTAACTCAAAATAATTTGCAAGTTTTCAGTCGGTAATTTTTTTTATTTTTTTTTTCTATAAATATCAATAAAATTTTATTTGTAAAATCGTTCCACTCAGAATCTAAAACTATGATTATCGACGTATTTATCATATTCAACAATTTATTTTATATCTATTAAAAATGTCCAAAAATTGATCTGTGTGTATCAAAATGGTGGTAAATAAGATTTTTTTGTAGAAAAAATAAATTTCAGGCGGTCAGAACCCTAGAATCCTACCCCTGCGTACGCCACTAGTAAAAATAAATAGTTTTTAATTTTTATTAAGTAGCGTTCTAGTATAAAACCTAGGTACATCACATAATAAACGAATGTTAACATTCCTACATATACCTAATATGGTTGTTAATTTGAGTAAACAATTTAAAGTATTGTTTTTGGCATAAGTTACTTACTTTCTTTCGTATTCTACGGTGTTCAAGAATGTTAAATTGTCAGCCAAAGCCCATTTCTTTTTTGACAATGCTGACGACCCAGTTCCAAGTTTTTTTTTATGTCTCATATAAGTATCGCGTATATTCCGCCAACGTTTTTTGCAATCTTCAGCTATAATACAGTGTTAATGGGTAAGTATTAGTAGTAAATAAGTAATATTCATAAATCGTGAGGAAAGGAATGTAAAGGCATAAAAGATTTATGCTTTAAAATACACTTTTAAAATGTGCACCTCTTTATATATAAGTATATTATATATTATATTCATACATATATATATATAATATATGTACCTATGTATTTATAATATAAATATAATTTTGTAGGTATTTGATTCAGGGTTGATTAATAGAAAAATATAAGTTAATATAAATTTTTTTATTCTTATAAATTATAATATAATATGTTGTACTTACTACATTGCCCAACAACGGTAGAAATATTGTTCCAAATTGCATCCTTATAATTCACATCTTTATGTTTCTCGTGTGAACTGTCATACAGCACACGGTTTTTGCTGACTTCTTCAACTAACAACTCATCTTGAGTTGTAGTGAATTGAGTTTTCGACATTTTTTGAAAATTCGTTGAGAATAAAATATTAAAATCGCAATGCGGCGCACGCAATACACTGCTTCCAGAGCAGTATGATCGTTGAACGCAACGACTATTTTTGACACGCTGACGTCGATCGCATATTGGAAACCACGATACCTTATTTATTTATAGAGCAGTCAATTACGTAATCGTTGCGACTAGTCGTTGCGGCCAGTCGCAACGACTAGTCGCAGCTTGGAAACCGTACCTTAAGATCGACAGAGGCGAGAGGCGGTAGCCGCCGTCGCCTAAGTTAGTGCATGCGAGGTGCGTCTACGCACACACATATAAGCTCGTAAAATAGTGTAAATTGCGCATGCGCAGACCGCCGCCAGAGGCGACTAATGTCAACTGCTCAACGATATTATAAACATTGGCCGCCGCCGCCGGGACCGCCGGTACATTAATTGTATGCATCCGCGCTACTTGCTAGGTGGGGGGCTGCGCTTGCCAGACGGCCGTCGCGGTGTCGCACGTCTGTTAAACTTTTGGTCGTGAAATATTCGTCTGTCCATGACGTAGTTACACTCAGTTACAGTATTATACAGTATAGTATTAACATATTTTGTTCCTGTGTTAGAGTAATAGTTTATTTACTATTTAATATTTTTCCGCCTCATGTAAAATTATATGCCAAAACCGCCACTGCTATTTAAATATGATAATACGGAACTGATGGAGAAAAGACGAAAAAAAAAAACGCGAAAAAAAACTCAAGATTATCACGGCCGCCGCAAATCTTCGATATCGCCGGGGAACGGTATCGAACCCACGACTCCTAGTTACATGTCCTAGCGCCCTAACCTATCGACTACCTACTCAGATGAATTATCGTGTCAAATCTATGACTATTAAGCCGCGTCGCCGTGCACCCGAAACTGGAAAGCGGCGTCCACGTCCGTCAAATGGCGTCCGAGCGGGGGGGTCGAACGCGTCGGTAAGGGGACGACCGTCTCGACCGGCTTCGGAAGTTCGATTCGGTGAGATTCGCGAAAAAAATCGATCGTCGGGACGCATGTATTTATGCCTGTATATAGCGATACCCAAAATGTATAATCAAAAATTTGACGCTACACCCGCATGTGTTGTCTCCGTCTTACAAATGTACAACATAGCAAAAACTCTTTTGCGCGGGAAATAACCGAGAAGGCTACAGTCATAACTAAGAAACGAAATTTTCACCACACAAAAAGGAGAACTTTGGCTGTGCAACGTCGTTTTTATTTTTTTGATGTCATTTATATGAAAAAAGTTCTTACTGTTTCAAAAACCATTATTGTTTGTGTTTTTCAAACTTAAAAAACTTTTTTCATATAAATGATATCAAAAAAATAAAAACGACGTTGCACAGCCAAAGTTCTCCTTTTTGTGTGGTGAAAATGTTGTTTCTTAGTTATGACTGTAGCCTTCTCGGTTCTTTCCCGCGCAAAACAGTTTTTGCTATGTTGTACATTTGTAAGACGGAGACAACACATGCGGGTGTAGCGTCCTCTTAAATAAATAAATATACGTGATAGACCATAGACCTATATTATATTGAGTAATATCAAATTATGTCATATCATTATACAATTGAACCATCAGAGTATTATATACTATTTGAAAAATATAGGTGCGTTGTTCATGGTAAATGTGTCAAGTATTAACTAAATACTTATTAAATACTTATAGTATAGTCATATGATATGACTAAATTCATATAATTCATATTTTTAATATCGCCTAAAAATTTAGTACCTACTACATAGTATATTATATATATATATATATATATTTATAATTTGTTATTATATACTTAGAAGTGAAATCCTCTGTTTCCAATACTTAGTTACTCTCTATTAGTCCATCAATGTTATGTACCTACTCATGGAGTACTAACCTATGACCAGCTACCTTATTTACCAATTTCACTATTACTTCTTCTAATTAAATTTTTACATATTACAATATGCCCAGTTCATATATTATAACACTATACCGTTTAACACACAATGCAAACTATTAGAAAAAGACATATTTTATATACCAACCAATACCAACCAATACCAATGATATAATTAATAGTAAATAGTACTTCATTTAAACTTTTAGACCAATGGACCAAAATATGCACTGATTTCACTTTGTACATACATAATATTATGCTTAAATTATATAAATATATCATTAGGTATAAACATACATCTATATAATAAATAGTACATAATGTATATCAATTTGTTATTCATAATTTATTAATTTGAAACTCATAATTAAATTAATATACACTATAGACCTACCTATATTTTGAGCAATAACAAATTATGTCAAATACAATTTAACTATCAGAGTATTATATACTATCTGCAGCAGTATTTGTATCATACCTCAACCAAACTGTGATATATTAAGTAGGTACCTACTACAAAGTATACATGTACCTAGGTTAGTAGTTATATTGTACTTGCGCTATTGTTTATTGAAGTATAAAGGAAACATATATGTGCGTTGGATAAAATCAAGTGTAAATTAAATATTTATTATTATTATTTATTAAACAGTTTAATAAGTATAGTAATATTTAAACACGTTAAGTTATATATTAAATATCTACTACATCAAACGATCAAACCTATCCATATAAATAATATCAAAGAGAGTAGTTAGGTATATTATAATAATTGTACAATTTAACTACCAGAATTTAATCATTTCAATTAGATCTATTAGTTTATAAATATTATATCAAATAGTATTTATAATTTGTAGCAGTGTTAACTAAATATTTATTATTATTATTATTTATTAAATAGTTATAGCATAGTCATATAATTTAATTAAACACATTAGATTATATTTTTAATATACATAATTTGACTCACCTAAAAACTGTAATATATTAAGTACCTACTACATAGTATAATATATATATATTTTTATAAAATGTTATTATATAAATATATCAATAGGTATAAAGATACATGTATATAATAAATAGCACATAATATATATAAATATATATATCAATATGTTATTCATAATATTACCAACAACTCAACCTCAACCAAACTGTGATATATTTAATAGGTACCTACGACAAAGCATACATGTAAGTTAGTTATTATTATCGCGTCGAATCGCGGACGGCGTTCATAACTGTCACCGAAAAATTTGAGAGGGGGTCAAAAGTACCCCGACTATGGGGGGACTATTTAGAGGGTCTTGAAACGTAAATTTTGGTGGTAAAACGGGGGACCCAAGTCGAAACGTGACAGAGATATACTTAAATCAAAAAAAGGAGGGGGGGTAATTTTTGATATGGTATGCACGTGGTCACCCACAACCCATAGCCGTTTACAAAATACGGCTACGACGATCCCCGGCTAAGTTATGCTCGGCCAAAAAAAATTTGATTGGGGGGGGGTCAAAAGTACCCCGTCTATGAGGGGGGACTATTTAAATATGATAATACGGAACTGATGGAGAAAAGACGAAAAAAAAAACGCGAAAATAAACTCAAGATTATCACGGCCGCCGCAAATCTTCGATATCGCCGGGGGACGGTATCGAACCCACGACTCCTAGTTACATGTCCTAGCGCCCTAACCTATCGACTACCTACTCCGATGAAATATCGTGTCAAATCTATGACTATTAAGCCGCGTCGCCGTGCACCCGAAACTGGAAAGCGGCGTCCACGTCCGTCAAATGGCGTCCGAGCCCCCCGCGTCGGTAAGGGGACGACCGTCTCGACCGGCTTCGGAAGTTCGATTCGGTGAGATTCGCGAAAAAAATCGATCGTCGGGACGCATGTATTTATGCCTGTATAAAGCGATACCCAAAATGTACCTACTCGGTACCTACTCTCGTTTCCGCGACGCCGCTCCTCCCCGGGACTCGTTTTTGAAAAAGTAGGACAGCTCGCCGACTACAAATTTAGCGAGGAACGCGAAAAAGACGCAAACGGGGAGACCCGAGGCCCCCGAGGGGGGTAAAATTCGAGATTCGGTGGGATTCGCGAAAAAAATCGGACGTCGAGACGCATGTATTTATGTATGTATACAGCACACACACGACGTACCCACTCGGTACCTACTCACGTTTGCGCGTCGCCGCTCCTCCCCGGGACTCGTTTTTGAAAAAGTAGGACTGCGGGCCGGCTATAAATTTAGCGGGGAACTCGAATACGTCTTCGGCGGGGAGGTGAAAAGTCTACAAACGAAGCGAAACGCGACTCTGTTGGAAAAAGTCGGAAAAAACCGTCGAAATCGTGACGACGCCGCGGCGTCGGCGACTGTCTAGTCGGATGAGGGGACTCATTTTTGAAAAAGTAGGATAGCGCGCCGGCTACAAATATAGCGAGGAGCGCGAATATAACGCAAACGGGGACGCCCGGGGCCCCCGAGGGGGGTAAAACTCGATATTTCGAAAAACACGGCGAAAAACGCGCGCGACGGCGGAGCTCGTATCGCGCGCGAGATCGGCTGCCGCGGGCCCGCCGGGAAGAAAATACGGCCGCGCGCGGCCTGTAAATCTAGCGGGGAACGCGAATAAGGTCACAGCGGGGAGACCCCGGGCCCCCCGAGGGTGTAAAACTCGAAAAACTCGAAAAATTTCAAAAAAATTTAGCGGGGAACGCGAATAAGATCCAAACGGGGAGGGCGATACGACCGAAACGGGCTAAAACTCGAATTTTTGAAAAAAACTGCAAAAAAAAGAAAATCGAAGTTTTCGACGCACATATTCACGCCCGTGTATAGTAATAAATAGTATCAAGGACTGCTTTGACGGGGAACGCGAATAAGTCTTCGACGGAGAAATCTGAAGTCAGTAGAGGCGGCAAAATTCGAATTTAAAAAAAAAAACGAACATTTTCGTTAAATACGATAAGCCGGAAGTGATAGCGAAACGACGAAAAAAAAAGTGAAAAAAAAATTCAGATTTATCACGGGGATACCCCCAGACCCCCGGGTGTCGGTCATGAGTGTTTTCGATTT